GGCCTCAGAGCCCTGCTTAGACCACGCCAGCGGCACCTTTGTATACGCTCATCAAACAGTCAGCGCTTCTTCATGTGGCCCCCAAGCCATGGCCAATCCATGTTCCTCCTTCTGCCCTTCCTCCCCGTCTCTGCCCTCTTGGAGAGAGACTGGGCTGTTTTTAGTTTCAAAATGGCAAGACGTTCAGCTGTTGCTCTGGGCCTTTGCTTGGATGGTTCCCTTTGACACTGGTTCTTCTCCTTGGCTTTGTCCCACAAGATCCTCAGGGTTTCAGTTCAGCTGTCTCTCAGGGGCCATCATTTCCCAAGCACAAGACTGGGCCAGGCTCTCTGCTTCCACAGCCCACGGCACTCACACCGTGGATGCGCTTGTGTGTCGTTTGGCAATAATTTGCCTGCTACTCACCAGCACCTCCCACCAGACTATGGGCTGCTGGCTCTCCTCCTGACTCCACCTCAATCAACCCGTGACTCAACGTCATCCTTTAAATGTCTATAAACATGTCAGGCTTGCCATATCCCATCCTAAGATCCCAACAGCGCCCGCCCACACCAAGTCCATTCTGTCCATATTCCTTTCAAGGTTCCACTTATTTAACTGCTCAGATTCTTGACAGAATTGCTCTAACATGACCCACAATTGATCCATCGTGAACTGAAGTGCTTTTAGAATCTGGCCATTACCCAACCTTGGTGTTGCTAGTCTAATCCAAGACACTACTGTCTTCTACCCAGGTTGCTGCCATCGAGCTCTGACCAGCTTCTCTGGTCTTCCCTGGATGTGCTAAGTCAGAGGTTCTCAACCTGCGGGTCGCAACCCCTTTGGGAATTAAAAGTCTTTCATAGGAGTCAAGTATCAGATATCCTGAATATCAGATATTTACATTATGATCCATAACAGTAGCAAAATTACAGTTATAAAGTAGCAATGAGAGTAATTTTATGGTTGGAAATGGGATCACCATAACACGAAGAACTGTATTAAAGGGTCTCCGCATTGGGAAGGTTGAGAACCTTTGCCCTAAGTCCCAAAGAATCTTCCAGCAGAGGTGACAAATCCTGCCCAGCATCTTAACTCCTAAATGCCCTTATACAGTTCAACCCAGAGGCCTCCAGCCCACATCGTTCATGTTCTGCTCTGACCACACACAGATCCCTGTTAGTTTTACAATGTGCCAACCGCATTTTCTCCTCCCAGCCCTTGCGCCCACTGAAACTACCTCTGCCTGAAAGTCCTTCTACCGACAGCCGCACCACCTGGCCTTCTCCCGTTGATTTCAGGTCTCTGCTCACAATCTCACAAGATGAGCGGCCGCTCCCCGGCACTCTATGGACAATAACAATCCTTCGCCGCCTCCTATTGTTTCTCCCTTTCTTTCCCTGGGTTGGGTTTTGTCATGACAGTATTGTCTCCTGCCCTCCACGTTTAGCTACTTATTGTAAAAGATTTGTCTCCCCAGTTAGCAGGCAATAAGGTCACAGACTCATGTTTTCCCACCTTTAAACCAAAAGAACAGAAGCATCGGACCTTAGTTTTGATTGAAAAACCAGATCAGCAATGGGACCAACTGATGAGTCTCATGTCCCACCCCACCAACAAGGTCCTTAAAAACCATCCCAAGCTTGAGCCAACCAAAGAACTCAGCATTGCTGGGATGAAGTCCCATTGAGATCAGGGCAGTCCTAGGAGTGTTTAGACACAAACCAGGGGCCAGAGATTTGGTTATCTACAAGGAGAGTTAGCTGCACAAGGCAAGATTTCCAAAAAGAAATGGAATTTCTTAGCAACCCAGATGAGCTCTCAACAAATATGCCATCTGCTTGGAGTCCATGGGGGCTCCCCAAAACAGATCATTAGCTCTAGGGCCAAATCAAGCTCGTGTGATTTGCTCAGAAGGAGACTCCTGGGAGCCTGGTGAGCGTGGAGGGCCCATAAGAGAGGGGAAGGCGGAGTCAGGGTTGCTGCCCTGTGCAGCTGATGGTCGGTCCTGCTGAGGACCAGGAAGAGGGGGTAGAACATCTCAGAATCTCAGCTTAGGAGGAAGTCTCATCTCAGCCACCTCCGAATTCCAGCGCTGAGGCCCTCGGAAGCCTCTGTCGTGTGTGGATCTCCACTGAGATGTCCTAGTCCCGACTGGAGCTCACCCACAGTTGCTTAGTTTTAGTTACCAACTTGCCACAACCTGGGATTCCCTAAGAAGGGAGACTAAATGAGGGAACTGTCTAGATCTAGGTCAGGATTGCCTGTGGCCACATCTTTGGGGGCCTTTCTTGATTGTTGGTTGATATAGGAAGACCCAGCTCCTTGTAGACGGCACCATTACATGGGCAGGGGGTTCTGAACTGTACAGGACAAGAGAAAGCTGGCTGAGAGCAAGTAGGCATCATGGGTGTGTTTGCTTCTCTCTGCTCTTGACTGTGGATGGCATGTGACAGCTGCTGGGGGTTCTGCCTCCTGTCAATTATGAACTGTGACCTGGAGCTACATTCTGAAATAAACTCTTTTCCTCCCTGTGTTGCTTTCGATCTCAGGGTAACAGGAAACAGAAACATCCCTTTCCTTTGGTACCCTGGTCACTTCTTGCCCCTGTAATGTTTTTTGTTTGTTTGTTTGTTTGTTTTTAATTTATTTTGAGCCGGGCTTCATATTATTGAAAAAATTTCCTAACGAACATGACGAGGAAGTGAGGTGCTCACAATCTCCAGTGCTGTCAGGAGGCTGAGTCTTTCAATCAACAGTATTGGTAGGGAGCCAATATCGTGGAGCATGGGATGTTTATCCACCAACTTTCATTGCCCGGTGTGAGGTTTCCCTGAGCACATTCACTTGCCCCACTCTGCCCCACTGTTTGCTCATTGAGGTCCTAGCAAAGCTGAAGGAAGTTCTATGACCCAGGAGAGGTAAGACCTTGAGACAGGACGTTATTTTCCACACTCACAAACGCCTACTGAGAAAGCAAAAGCCAGGTTGGCCAATGGGAAAAACTCTACCACTGTAAGGGGAAAAGCTATCTGTAAAAACTGCAACCCTAAACACGCATATATCATGATATGGGGGTGCCTAACTTTTATTTTTATTCCCCACATATAGAACCCTCAGAGAAGAAAAGAATGTGTCTGGTTTGTCTTCACAAACTAGACCTTTGTCAGAGGGTAGAGGACAGTAACCACAGAACAGGCAGCACGTTACCAGCGAGAGCTGGAAGGGCCTCTGGTGCCTCCACTCTGAGTTCATGGTCATGACCTAGACGAGTGCCAAAGACACACAAAAGGAAGGCTGCCCCGGCTTCCAACATGGCGGCACCCCCACATGGTGCAGACGTTAGAACAAACAAGGAGCGAGAATGGACGTGCTAGCAGAGCATGGGTGTTTGAGGGAGGACATTTTCTGGTCCTTGGGATGCAGAGTAATGAGCCATCATTCTCCCTTCTCACGCTCTACACTGTCTTGTATTCAGAGGTTCAAAACATTTGGCAGACATTTATTCTGCTGCAAGTGAGTCAATACACACAGTCGTGTCTGCCAGAGAAATTATAGTGTCTAGACAGCCCCTCCCCCAAGTCTGACACGATACAATAAAACATCTGAGCATCTCTTAAATATTTCTATGGTACTGCCTTGGTCATTCATGTGCCAAGCCATGCAGCTGACATTGAAATTGAAGCCTCTTCAAATTTCTCAAGTCAGTAATGACTCCTTGGCTGTCGTTGCTGTGATTCTTCAGGCTTCACTCAGGAACCTTCTTTTCTCTGGCCCAGGTCTTGCAGACATCTAGGGATGCATGCAAAGGTTGACCAGGACCCTAGAGAAGAGGGAGGGGTGTGGCCATGACTCTGCTTCTCACTGCACACCTCTTGGCAGGAAGATTTGTCCTTAGCATTCTTCACTGAAGCTCGGGACAGAGGCCTGGTCTCCACTTCTGGTAAATATTCTAATAAGTTGACTGAGTCCATTTGACTAAGAAATGCAAACCTATTTAATAAAAATTTGTTGAATAAGTTAACTGGTATCTTTACAAAATTGGCAAAGGGGGAGCGCCTACCCAATGAAAACAGCTAGTTAGAGGTCTGAGAACTGCATTAGTGAGTGCCAAGAGATATTTTTTATTATTAAAGGTTGTTTGATTTTCATTTCTGTGACTGTGTGTATGTCCCTGTGTCTTCATGAGTGTGCAGTGCTGGTAGAGACCAGCAGAGGGCGACAGGAGCTACACGGAGCTGTAGTTACAGATAGATTCTAAGGTTATGGCAGACCCACAACAGGGCATCATTTGGAATTAGTTTCTAATGTTCTCTTTCTTCTCTGTGTTGTCTGGGAACCCAGCCCTTCCCTTAACTTGGAGAGCACTCTCTAGATATGGAAGCTAAGGTTCAAAGAGATGTTTACCACACAGCATGGACACATCAAGGTACATCTCTCAAACTCCAGAACATTTGTATTTAATCTCCTTTTTCTAAGCTTGTCTAGCAACGGGCAGACAGACTCACAGAGCTTCTTCAGCCTTAATCATTTTTAAAAAAATAGTTTTAAAAACAAAATGCCTTGAAGATAGTGTGATTAGAGAAATCGCTGTTGAGGTTTGAATATGAACTGTGGCACAGGGGGCTCATGCGTTGTGCTGAGGGTTTAATCCCAGGGTGTAGGCAGCTTCAGAAGGCTGAGTCTAACTAGAGGAAGCAGTAACTGGGGAGGTATGCTCTCCATTCTCTCCCCTCTCCCCAGTGTGACAGTGTGAGGTCCCGCCTTGCCGCGGGCCCACAGCAAGACAGCCAGCCAGCCAGACTGTGGACTGAAATCACAGCCCAAATAAATCCTTCCCCCTTTAAGTGGTTTCCTCGGATATTAGTCACAGTGAGGGAAAGCACAAGAGCCCAGGATAATAATAAGCCTGTGCCAGGCCAACAAATAAATTCTCCTGCTTTTTTTTTTCTTGCAAAGACACAGGCGTACTGATGAGCCATTGCAAACAATTATCCTACCTGGCTCGAACTGTAGCTCACCTGAAGTTGCTGCCTCAGCCAATATCACTTAAAGATGGTGATTCGGGTTTTGCATTGTTTCTGCCTCTCGAAGCAGACTTTTAAGGAGGGACCAGGAGCCCCGATTGGAAAAATCGATCCCATATTTCCATTTTAATGTAAACATTTAGCGTCCACCGCTTTCCTCGGTATCGCATTAGCACTTGAATGCGAGCGCCCCGCCAGAAAGGTACTTCAAAGCCTTCCCTTTATTTCTTTTTTCTCAGGCAGAGAAAGCAAATGGAACAAAATTGTTTCCCAAGTCGATAGTTGACTAAACGCAGTAATCATGGGGAGAGGTGAGTCGTGTGGGGGTCGCCCTGGGTGGGTAAGCCCAAGCCGGCTGGGAAGCAGGCTCCCCCACGGGAAGCTGCTGGGGGCTTATTCGGATTCTTAAAGAGTCTCTTAAGTTCCATTTTGCAAATATTGCATTCTCTCAAAACCCTGTGGCAATAATAATAATAAAGAAATGAGGTGGGTTTTAAGATGGCCAATCGAGGCTGGAAATGACGAAAATTCCCTTTTCATGTTGAGAGAGGACCCGAGGTCATCAAGCAAAGGCCTTTGGCTAGCATCCTCAGAGTTTGAAAGCAAAATGCAGTTTGGAGTCCAAAGCTGGGTTTCTGCCCTTTCCCTACCTCCTGGGAGTTGGTTCCTTTCTTCCCAGACCGGGGAAGGCCGCCAGCCCTCCAGCCCTCCTAAAAATCATTCCTCCTGTCTGCTGTGCCGTGATGTCTGCCCTGCACGCCAGGTGCAATTGTGGCGATTTAGGCCAAGCGCAAAGTGCTCCATTTCAGGCTGACATCGTGCCAAAGTCTCCTGCATAAAGCCGCCTTCGAATCCTCCGGCCCCACATTACGTTTCGCTGGCGTTTGTCTGCCGTTATTACCCAGAATTCCAAAAGGACTTGGCCATGTTAAATAACAGGCAGGAAGAAAGCAATAGCCTGGTGCTGCTGAGGACACAGAGCCCGAATAATGAAGAGGGCGGCTAGAGGTGCCGGCTGAGCACTGAAAATAGAATGGGGTCCGGTGAGCTCGGGAGAAGTAGGCTTAGCATCCAGAAAGGCAGGCTCACCCAGGTAATGACCTGATCACCACACTCTACTATTAGCCAGGCTCTGCTCCTTGCCACAGCCACTCTGGAGGGCTGTTTGGCGGTGTTTATCAAAACTAAAAAAGTACATGCTCCCCAAGAACCAGAGGCTTCTCTTGCTGGCATCTGTCCTTCAGTGGGGCTAGAAGGCTGGTGGATGTAAACAATGACCCAGCCAAAAAGTGGGAAATTTGTAGCCAGAAACGCACCGTGAAGTACTACACAACAACAAAGGGCTGCATCTTCAGCTCAATAGTGTTTATGTGCACTTGTCCAGGGTCAGAATGTTCTGGGAACTCGCCTAAGTGCATACACACAAGAGACCATCTCATTCTTATAACCATCCTCAGGCAGATTCTCACAAAGCCAGGAGACACACGACGTTCAACAGCCCACCTGGAAACACAAGAGGACGCAGGCCATCAAACCCCAGCTCACTAGTACCCAAGCCACCGGCCTCTCAGGGATTTGAGTGATATCCTTCTTTGTCTTGAACAAAAATGAAAGCAAGTTGCAGGATGGTGCATCTGACATAGCAGGTTTGTTTGCAAACTAACACACGCACTCGTCTAAAACATCACTGTGCGTTTTCCCATAGATGCTTTGTTTGTGTTGAGAAAGATGTGGAGCGGACCCCTACAGAGGAAGGAAGAAAAGAAGTTGAGGAGCCTGACTTTATTTAGAACACGATTTTTAAAAACTACATTACATTCAAGTGTGTGTGTTGTGCGCGTGTGTGCGCGTGCATGTGCGTGAGCGTGATGACATGTACATGCAGGGAGTCAGAGTACAGCCTTTGGGAGGTGGTTCGCTCCTTCTGTCATGTGCGTTCTGAGGCTGGAACTCAGGCCAGCAGTTTTGGCAGCGCTGGCAGCTGCCCTTTTACTCTTTGAACCACTTTGCCAGCCCTATAATTTTTTAAAGATTTCTTTTTCATTATATGTAGGTGTGTGTGTGCACGCATCCACGCGTGTGTGCAAATGAGTGCAGTTGCCTATGCAGGGGAGAGGCGTCAAATACCCTGGAGCTACAGTCACAGTTGTGAGATGTCTGATGTGGGTGCTGGGAATCGAACTCGGGTCCTCAGAAAGAGTAGCTAGTGCTCTTAACCACTGCGCCATCTCTCCAGTCCCAATGCTGTGGATCTTTAAAGGACAACATAGCTGTGTGTATTTGTGCAGCCGAAATGCAGTGGTGTGGGAATGTCCGTGTGTATGCAGGTGCGCATGTGCTGAGCACCTTTCAGAAGAGAGTGCTAAGGAAACGGAAGCCAGGACTACCTCCTGCTGCCTCTTCCGCCTTTGCGAGGCAGGGTCCTGAGCGCCACTCACAGCTCTGGGCTCCCAGGATGCTTTTGGGAAAATGGTGGATGGAATCTCTTTCTCTCGTGGAGTTTCCACTCTAATAAAGCAGCACGGTCTGTCCAGGAAGTCGGAAGCAGCTGAGAATGACAAGAGCGGCTCTTGACAATGGTCGGTGACACGGTAAGAAAACCGAGGAAGCAGGAAACTCTGAGAGAGAAGGGCACAGTGTCATCGGGTTGAGGCTTATGGGCATCTCTGCAGAACAGTGACATTTTTAATCAAGGGCACATGGCTCCCCTACCAGGGTCTGAATGTTTTTATGCTCATATGTTGGAAGTTAATCCCCAGTGTGGTGGGGATGAAGAAGTGGGGGTTTTGGGGGGCAGTGACTGGGTCATGAGATTTCTCTGTCCTCGTGGGTGGGATTATCGCTCCTATGACGGAGGCCGAGGGGCTTGTTGCCTACTTCCGCTAGAGGCACCAGCTCTTTCTTGTCTCTTTTTCATCCTTCCTTTCGTTCTACAACTGACTGCATTAATTACGTTGTTTGTGTGAATATGCCTGAGGGTTGCTTACTGGACCAAGGGCAGTACACCAGAGCCACAGCGCTAAGAAATGTGTGGCCCTTCCTGAGCGACCATTAGAGCCCCCATTGGCTGCCTACAGCACAGGGTGGGGGGTGGTCATGAGCCCCTCCTCCATCCATGATGAATTTTTTAATAAGTCCACTTGAACGTGTACCCCGAATTGGCGCACATCTCCCCATTTTCAGAGTAATCACTCTTCGCTCCTCTCATGTGAACCTCCCTCTCTCCCTCTTTCTCTCTCTCCATGGCAGCCTGAGGATCTTTTTCAATTGGAAGTCCAATTTCAAAGCTTCCATCGTAGCCAGAGGAAAGGCTAGCTCCTTGCCTGAGCCTATGGTGTCTGATCTGATCAGGGCTATGTCAGCCTTTCTCATTGTCCACTTTCTAATACTCAGTAACACCGACTTTCTTGTTCTTCTTCAAAACTACCAAGTGAACTTCAGCTTTGGGACCTTTGTACACACACACACACACACACACACACACACACACACACTTCCAATGAATAAGAGCAAGACAAATGCCAGCATGCCTGCTGTAATGTTTAAAGTTTATTTTTAAAGTGGACTGTTCCTCCTTTAGTACCTACATGGATAATTCCTTCAGGCTTAAGCTCAAATGCCCATACTCAGACCCCTGAGCCAGCCGTGGCACACAATAGGTGGTCTGTGGTCCAGAGATAGAACCTGACCGAGCAGGGTTGCCGCTGGATGTGTCCACACAAGAGGCAGATTCTGCAACCAGATGTGAAGCATGTCAACCATGCTCACAAGGCTGACCAGATGTGAAACATATCAACCATGCTCACAAGGCTGACCAGATGTGAAGCGGATCAACCATGCTCACAAGGCTAATGTGTAAAACCAGTGCTCATTTATTTACAGTGGCACAGTGCTTCCTCGCGGGTGTGGGTGATACTGGATCTCTAGTCCGATCCCACAGACAGGTCATTTATATGTGTGTATCTGTATACGGGTATATACGTGTGAGTACAGGTACCCACAGAGGCCAGAAGGGGGCATCAGACCTCATGGAACTGAAGCCATGGAACATGAGGGCTGGGAGCCCAGCTCAGGTCCCCTGCTGGAGCAGTAATTGCTCCAGATCCGTATTCATCATTTATTGGCAGGCTCATTGTGATGAAACTGATAGACAAAATGCTGCCCACTCGGAGTACACACAGTTTGGTAACCTTGGAAACAGGAGCATACACTTGATACCCTCACTTAAACAAAGTAATAAACATATTCATCAGCTCCATTGTCTTATACCGCTCCTTGTTTTTGTTATTGTTGGTGTTTGTGTTCGTTACACTTCATGTGAGAGCTGCTTGTTTCACAACCTCTAGACTGCAGAAGATGGCGTTGTTAGCGGCTGACGGGAAGCTGCTCAGCAGAGCTCTCTAACTCCTGTGTGACTGACACTTGTTCTTTTGGACCATCTCTTCCCAATCTGCCTTGCCTTCCAGCCCCTGACAACCACTACCCTACTGTTCCTAGGAGACTACTGGAGATCCCACATATTGAGTCCACATGCAAATCACATCGTTATAATAATGGCTCCCTGCCATTATTATATGGGACGCTCCTTTGTGCCACTCCTTGGGCTTCGAGGTTTACATGTGCTGAGTGTTTCAATCCTTACAAAGCCTGGTAAAATCTGGCTTATTTGATCTACCGTTGAGGAGGCTGAGCCTTTGCAGCCACCATACCCTCTAAGTTCCTAAGACTTTAAACCTATTGCCTGCTATTTTCCAATGGTTTCCTGGTTGAAGAGGCCTACGCATCATCGGGATCAAGGCCGTAGTTTACAATGAGAACTCTAACTATCCAGGAGGCTGAATATGCAGGGCCACTGGTCAACGTCCTTCTTCCTGGGAGACTGTGAAAAGTTAAATTCTTATCAGAAAGCTGCCTGATTGGATGGGACCCAGAGCACGGAGCATCTCTGTATGGGGCCAGTTCAGACCACATACCTGTGGGATCCATATTCAGTCACCAGCAGGAAGCTTAGGGACCTCTGAGCCTCCTGATTCATCACACCCCTCAAATATTCCTGGGTGTACCAGGCTGTTATCACCTCTGTTTCTCCGGCTCCTCGCTCCCTGCTGCTAACACTGCAGTTTAATCTTGAGATATGATTATTCATTCAATCAGGCTTCCATCAGGTCTGCAGACCCAGGAGCTTTTGTTTTCCTTGTGAAGATGTATCCTGCCCCCTGGTCAGACCCAAGAAGACTGTCTCATGGGACGAAAAGGAGAGTTCTAGGCGTGGGTCTGTGTTCTGCCTGTGTGTCCACGGACAAGCGACTTCCCCTGTGTAAACCCTGAGCTTTAGTTTAGAGACTCAGGGCAGTAGTAATTTCTACCTCATGATCTGTAATCTAGAGACAATATGTAGCATGATTCCTGGTGCCTCACAAGCCTCTCGCTGTGCCACAGTCTGAGGGAACATCGCATCCTCCTGGTTCTTCCTTCCTGTCAGACATCCCACTCTTCCCAAAAGGAGATGGGAAGCAAAGTCAGTTCAATGTGTGATATTTGCTAGACACGCTAGACCTGAGACATCTCTTGCAAAATTACCCAGCATGCACTTCCTTGTCCACTTGGCATGCTGTTCTCAATTTTTGAAGCTCTCCTACTGAGTCATCCTCTCCACCAAACACTCTAGAATCGCCAAGGGGATGAGAGCATGACCCTGCCTCTCTGTCCAGGGTTCAGGACCTAGAATACTCGAGTGAGACAGTTGATATTGGGAGCCACTGGACATGTGCTCTGCCACCCCTTCATTTATTCCAGACACCCCAACACCTTCTTTCATATTCTCTCACAGTTGAAGGAGAGAAGT